TTCAAATGCCAGAACTCCTTTTTCAAATGCCAGAACTTGGTTTTCAAATGCCAGAACTCCATTTTCAAATGCCAGAACTCCCTTTTCAAATGCCAGACCTCCCTTTTCAAATGCCAGAACTCCCTTTTCAAATGCCAGAGCTCCCTTTTCAAATGCCAGAACTCCCTTTTCAAATGCCAGAACTCCCTTTTCAAACGCCAGAACTCCCTTTTCAAATGCCAGAACTCCCTTTCAAATGCCAGAACTCCCTTTTCAAACGCCAGAACTCCCTTTTCAAATGCCAGAACTCCCTTTTCAAATGCCAGAACTCCCTTTTCAAATGCCAGAACTCCCTTTTCAAATGCCAGAACTCAGTTTTCAAATGCCAGAACTCCCTTTTCAAATGCCAGAACTCCATTTTCAAATGCCAGACCTCCTTTTTCAAATCTGAGAACTCCCTTTTCAAATCTGAGAACTCCCTTTTCAAACGCCAGACCTCCTTTTTCAAATCTGGGAACTCCCTTTTCAAATCTGAGAACTCCCTTTTCAAATCTGAGAACTCCCTTTTCAAATGCCAGAACTCCCTGTCAAATGCCAGAAATTGGTTTTCAAATGCCAGATCTCCCTTTTCAAACGCCAGAACTTGGTTTTCAAATGGCAGAAGAAACTCGCAACAAACATTGCAAGTGTAAACGAGCCTTAACGAATGTTGGTATTAAGCACCTTGTTCTAACTCGTAATTTCAAGTTACTGAACGAATATCTTTCAAAATCCTTTACCAGCAGACACTGATTTTAAGAAATATGAGAAAAAACATACTTCGAATAACATATTATTGGCAGTATGCTTTTTCTTATACCTTTCAGAAACTTGTACTTTATGTACTTGTACGCCTTGAGTCGTAAGTCTGTAACAGCTAAGTCAGGCCTTAAAATATCATGTACAGGACCGTCTGACAAAATGTCTGATGACTTCGAGTTTTGGTTGGACACACTGTATGATGATGTCCGATGACCTTCAGTTCAGTTTGGTTCGGAAATGTTTGTGTGAATGACACAAATTAATATCAGCACAATATATTAAATCTGGAGTAAATGTTGTGAAGATATTAAATAAACAATTTCACAAATGGGTCGGACAATGTCCGTGACCGATCGATATTTTAAGACGACTAAAAATCTTGAATTATCAAATCTTGTTGTAGAAAATAACTACTGTAAGGAGAAAAGAAACTAGCGGTGAGTCTTACACTTCAGATAATGCTCCATAGTTATCCTCAGCACAATATACATCGTAAACATAATCCTTTTCAAGAATATCTAAGTTATTCTTTGGTCCTAAAAACAGAAGATATAAAGTATACTGACCTTTATACTATTAGCAATAGTAAACACATTTTGGAACATTTGCATGTTTCAAAACGTATATATCTAATTTCTCAAAATTCAACGTTTGGGAAACGAGGTTAGGTCAAGCTCTACAAAAACCTAACAATCTTTACAGTAAATACTTTATTGTCGATTTCAAGTCACTTTTCAACGCGCGGTTCCCAAGTTCGTTGCAAACTTGCCAATTACGTTTCCAAGTTCAAAAATTGAGCGTGAACTTCGCAACAAAGTTCGCAAGTACATTTCAATGTTTGAACTATTGTAAACAAATGTTCATAGTTCAAGGTGAAATTAACAATGGAAAGTTCTTGGTTCAGTGGGCTACCATAAAGGTTTGTATTTCATTGAATTGATTGTTATTATTGAGTATGAACATTTGTTTACAAACGAAGTTCAAACATTGAAATGAACTTGCGAACTTTGTTGCGAAGTTCGCGCCCAATTTCCAAATTTTTTAATTTGGAAACGTAATTGGCAAGTTCGCAACAAACTTGGGAACCGCGCGTTGAAAAATGACTTGAAATCGACAATGATGCAACAAACCTTCGTCAATCTTTAGTTTTTCACGAATCATTTTGACAGAATTACACAAAATAGCATTAGGGTCTATGTCTTCGTTTTCACATTCCTTTTCGTCTGCAACACTTCTAATTATAATTAATAAAAAAAAACTCTATCAAAACATGTCAACACAACTACTTCGTTTCTTTGGAATAATACTTTCTGTTTCTCATCTCAACGTTGAGATAGAGCTTTTGATTCACAAGCATGCGCATTAGAAACTACTTCACTGGAATGTTTTTTCCAAATCCTTGCTATGGAAATGGTAGAGCTGTGCGCTGGAGCCGGAGTGCCGGAGCTCCGGCATATTTTGCCGGAGCCGGAGTTGAAAAACTCCGGCAAAAACTTCGGCAGACAAAATTATATAAAATTATTTCATATTTCAACGAACATTTGGCATTAAATGGGAAAATTACGTTGTTGTTTACTAATATATTACTATTTATATCTTGTTTTACTATATATTACTATGTGGTTTACTATTAATAGTGTTGTAAAAAGGTTTTTAAAAAAGATAAATTCTGAAATTACACTGAAATACTTTCGCCTGCTTCCACTTTTAAATATGGAATTTCCTTAAAAATAACCGGAGTTTGCACAGCTCTAGGAAATGGTATGGATCTTAGTTGACAATAGTATGGAAATCCAATGTTCATACTAATTGCAATTTTCATACTGCATATATAGTATGGACATACTATAGATTTAGTGATGCAATCGCAAATTCCATAGTATGAATTTCACTATTTTTTTCCAGTGTACTGCAACAGAGTGCAATAGCTGAAGATTTTCCTAGTCGTACCTGCCTGGTACTCCTGAACTGGTACAAACTTAAGACTCAAGGTGTACTTAGTCTTTAAAATGAAGTGCATAAAGTACATGTTTCAGAAAGGCATGATCTTGAAAGTACAATGATTCAGTAACATGAAAGTACGAGCTAGAACAAGAAGCACAATTGCATATACAGTACAAACACTAATGCCAAGGCCAAAAAAAAAATATGTGGGTTTCCGGTTTCTTTTTATAAAAACTTAGGTAGGGTAGGTCGGTTTTAACTTTTTTTTTTAACTTTTTTTTTTAATTTTCCGAACAAGCGGACGCCATTTTGTTTAGTCAGTGCTTCCACATCCAAAGATAAATTTCCCTAATATTGCCTCAAATTTCAATTTTCTGCAAACTTTTTCCTCTAAGTGGAAACACTTACAAGATGATCCAATGAAAAAGTTTAGGGTCGGGATTTCGACGTCCAAAAGCTAGGTAGGGTCGGGAAACCGGAAACCCACATATTTTTTTTTTTGGCCTCTCATGCATTCTCATCCTCATTTGATCAAGGTTTTAATTTCCTTATTTCCACCTCCATAAAAAGATAATAACACTGATGAATATACAATTCCAGCTATCGACTAATTTTTTATCTAGACAAGAAAGACGAAATATATCATTATAAGGGTCCGGTCATTATT